CCGGACATGTCCGGGAAAAAGAGGACGTATGGTAACCCTAGACTGTGTGGGATCCAGGACCCAGGGCTTTGACCCACTGGGCCATGTCCCTCACTACTGCAGGTGTGGGGAGTTTGCAGCCAAAATTTGGGATGAGTGGCAAGATCCTTTCACTCCACAGACGACTCCTCCTTTCCCTGGCAGCTGGTGTCGGTGGCCTCAGCACACACGCTCTGTTGCAGAGCCCTTGGCACAGGAGTTTGCTGAGAGCTGAGGGGGTGCAGAACGCACTGCTGTAAGATACAGTCACCCCACAGGACACACGGTGCTGTTAGCTTGCAGTGTCCCATGCATCGTGTCTGCCTTGTTAAACACCTCCCCGAAAACCCCTGCAGAGTATGAACAGGGGCCTGTTTGTCTTCTGGGAAACCTACGTGTGCACGTGCAAAGTAGCTAGTTAGAGAATAAACTGCCCAGGAGTGGGTGACAGGACCTAATGCCAGGGCTGTGCCAGCAGATTCGGGCTCAGTGTCTGCATCCATTGTTGAAGCCTCTTTGACAATGGGCTGGCAAAGCATGTGGGGTGTCAGTGCAGACATTGCTGTCTGTGGCACACCGGAGGGGCCCTTTCTCACTGACCCAGGGTGGGAAGAGCTGAGCAGGGTTCTGTTCCACGGGGTTTAGTGAAAGCGATCTCTCTCTTGTGCACAGTCTGGCCCAAGGACTGCAGCGAGATAACCTGGAACAGGGTCAGTGGCGTCTTCGTCATCCAGCCCACAGGATTCCACCAGATTGTCATTTACTGTGACTTGAACAGCACCAGCGAGGGCTGGACGGTCCTCCAGCGGAACCGGCACGACACACAGATCACCTGGGCTGAGTCCTGGAGCACCTACAAGTACGGCTTTGGCAACGTGCAGGATGACTACTGGCTGGGGACGGAGTACATCTATCGGATCGCCAAGCAGAAGGTCTACCAGGTCAGGTTTGTCATCCACGATTCATCCGGCACCATGAAATACGCAGATTACAACCTCTTCGGTCTGGAAGACGAGTCCAAAGGCTACAGGCTGAGGCTGGGCTCTTACACTGGGACTGCAGGGGACGCCATGACTTCAAACAATCCTACCACCGTGCATGACAACATGAAGTTCTCCACTAAAGACCTGGATCAGGACACTTACGGTGGGAACTGTGCGTCTAGCTCTGGTGGGGGCTGGTGGTACTCGGCTTGTCATTCTGTTCGACTGAACGTCAAAGGGAGCATCACTTGGGGTAGTTTCTGTAGTGGGAACTGCCAAGCCTCTGCCATCCTCATCAAACCAGCGTCCTATTGTTAGTCACCCCTTCCCCACCCTCCTGTCTGCAGTGAGGCCAACCCCTGCTCCACGAAGGGAGGGAAAAGGGTCAGCGTGTGTCATGGCCAAACCTCACACCCAACTCGGAGGGGGAAGTATCATGTTTATCCAAAATGGGGCAACTTTCTCTTTTCTTTTCTTCCGTGCACCTTCCGAGCTAATCTCTGCTGGGCACTTGTGCTTTGCGTTGACTTGACTTAGTGATATTCGTAATCAGAAGAATCATTTGCAAAACCTGCAGGATCCAGATGTAGAAGCTCCGGGGAGAGTAAATGCCTCGGATCCGTAGTGACTTTTCAGTGTCTTTTGCTCTCAGACTCATGCACAGTTCCAGAGGTCACAGGGGTGGGGAAATCCAGAAACACAGAAGGGTTTTTATAAACACCCGCTCTACTGCTCATTAGCAGGGATTAAAGCTTCACATTAAAAAGGCATTTTAAATGTGGTGGCCCCAGTTGGTAACTTTCTGTTCCCTGCCACTTACTCTCTGCTGTGCTCTCGTGGGCACCGTACTGCGTAGATCCATTCCCAGTATTCTCAGCCGTCCTGCCTTGGGGGAGTTGGGCTGGCAGACCTGGCAGGGTTCCTTGCCTCACAGTCTTAGGGGTCTGCAGGTTGCTGTGAGGGAATTTTCGGCAATGGCCTAGCAGGATTTGAAAGCCAGGCCTGCACGTCTGACGATATCTGGGTAGCTGCAGCAGTGGCCTGAGGGGCCCTTTAATCAGTACCTTGAATTACTGTCCACGTGTGCAAGTAGGTCCTAGTCCAAAGCCAGTTGATAACAGACAATCTTCCATTGACTTCAGTGGGGTTGGATCAGGCCCTAGTGTAGGGTTGTTGGGATGGGCCTGTTGCTCTCAACTGCACCGAAAGTAACTCCTTGGGCCACCAGTCCTTTCTCATGTTTGGGGGAGGAGAGACTGGGATGCTGGGAGAGGAGACTATGGGCTACCTGCTGTCGATACAATACCCAGAGAGAGCCTGTGGGGCAGACACGGGGTGTATTCCACTCCCACAGCAGGCGGAGTCGCTCCTCAGCCTGAGAATCAGGACTCTGCCCCCAGCTTTGCCTGGCCATGTGCTTCGGTGAAGAGGTCACAGATCCAGGGGCTGTCTCCTGTAAGGGCTGTTGCTTGCTGGCCGCAGTCAGACAGTCACATAGCAACAAGCAAAAATGGGGGGAGGGATTTTCCAAAGGTCACGAGTTACTTAGGAGCACAGAGCCCATTGAAAGTCAATGAGCAGGGCTGGATTTGGGAGTGGGTGCCAAAGGGTGCAATGGTCCAGGAAGGCTCCGTGGTCAGGGGGCTGTCCATGCCCGTGGGACCTATGTGTCTGGGGAGGCCTGGGCAGTCGGAGAGCGGCGGCTGCTGGCCGGGCACCCAGCTCTGAAGGCAGTGCTGCCGTCAGCAGCAGCGCAGAAGGAAGGGTGGCATGGTAGGGTGTCTTGTCACCCTTCTGCAGGGAGTGGAGCTGGGGCGGCTGCGGCTGCGGCTGGGGCACGCAGCTCGAGCCTGTTCACCTCAGCCAATCTCCGGCCAAGCTGGGAGCCAGGCCCTCCCCATCCTCCTTGCCCGGCGCTCCAAAAGGCAGCGACCCCCGGCCACAGCGGGAGTCGACCTCACGGAGATCCTACCTGCTCCCTCAGGGCTGCTGCTGCTCTATAGGGAGTTCATCCCCCCCACACCCTGGGGCCAGTCTGCTAGGGTTACCATATTTCCACAATCAAAAAAGAGGACGGGGGGGAGCCCCGCTCTAGCCCCGCCCCCATCCACTCCCTCCCACTTCCCATCCCCTGACTGCCCCGCTCAGAACGCCCAACCCCCCCACTCCTTGTCCCCTGACTGCGCCATCCTGGGACCCCTGCCACTAACTGCTCCCTAGGATCCCACTGCCATCTAGCCTCCCTGTTTCTTGTCCCCTGACTGTCCCCTCCTGAGAACCCCCCACCCTAACTGCCCCCCTAGGATCGTACCTGTCCCCTGACTGCCCTGACCCTTATCCACACCCCCACCCCATATTCACACCCCTACCCCAGATAGACCCCCGGGACTCCCATGCCCTATCCAACTGCTCCTTGCTCCCTGACAGGATCCCCAGAACTCCTGACTCATCCAACCCCCTCTGCTCCCTGCCTCCTTGACCCCTCTCCACACCTCTGCCTCCCTGACAGCTCCCCCAGAACCCCCGACCCATCTAACCACCCCGCTCCCTGTCCCTGCCTGCCTCGACCCCTCTCCACACTCCTGCTTATACAGGGTAAACTCAGAAATTGTTTGCCCTCTATAACACTGATAGAGAGATATGCACAGCTGTTTGCTGCCCCCCCCAGGTATCAATACATACTCTGGGTTAATTAATAAGGAAAAAGGGATTTTATTAAATATAGAAAGTAGGATTGAAGTGGTTCCAAGTAGTAACAGACAGAACAGAGTGAATTACCAAGTAAAATAAAATAAAACACGCATGTCTGAGTCTAATACAGTAATACAACTGGGTACAGATAAAAACCTCACCAGTTCCAGAATGCTCCTTTTTACAGACTAGTCTCCTTCTAGTCTGGGTCCAGCTATCACTCACACTCCCTGTAGTTACTGTCCTTTGTTCCAGTCTCTTTCAGGTATTCTTGGGGGTGGAGAGGCTATCCCTTTAGCCAGCTGAAGACAAAATGGAGGGGTCTCCCAGGGGGTTAAATAGACTTTCTCTTGTGGGTGGAGACCCCCTCCTCTCTCCTATGCAAAGTCCAGCTCCAAGATGGAGTTCTGGAGTCACATGGGCAAGTCACATGTCCATGCTTGAGTCAGTTTTTACCAGCCAAGCCACATTCCTGGGAAGGCTCTGATGTGGATTGGCATCTTCAAGTTCATTGTTGGCTGAAGTGGTTTTTGATTTGCACTTTTCTCAGGAAGCCGACCAAATGCTCTACTAGGCTAGTTAAAATCAAGCAAGTATACAGCCAATATTCCTAACTTCAAGTACAAAAATGATACATTCACACAAAGAGGATTAATAGATTCAGTAGATCATAACCTTTACAGAGATATGTTACATGGCATATGTAGCAGAAAACATATTCTAGTTATGTCATATATACATTCATAAGCACATTCCATAAAGCATTGGGGGGGGGCACCATCACACAAGGAAATTGCTCCAGATGGGCAAAACTTTTTCCATCAGAAATGTGGTTTCGGGGAAAGCAAAATTTTCTGTGGGAAAAAGTCAACTTTGTTGAAATGGCAAATACGGCAGGAGAGGGGGCAGCATGAGAGATGAACAGGCCGTTTGCTTGTGTACACACAGCACAAGAGAGAAACACAGGAGAATGGATCTGCTCTGCTCCGGGCTGGGAATTGCTTTGTTTGTTCTCTAGAGAAGGGAATGTTCAGCAATCCCTCCCCACAACCCGTAAGAAGAGTTAATGCTGAACGTGTGTCAGTGGGGCCATCTACCGTCCAAAGCAATACTACATTTTCTGGACAAAACAATGAGGCCTTTGGACACCGAACGTCAGGAAGTCTGGAGACGGACAATGAAAGGAACCCAGCACCGCCCCACTGGTCTAGGACCTTCCACTCCAACAGTCTGACACTGGCCACTCAACTTTATCCCCTGAAACTGACAACACGTCCAACTAGTTTCCTTGCCTCAACTCCCATTGCTCTGCAACCTGCACTGCAGAGCTTCCTAAAAACGTCCCTTGTCCAGCCGTGCATCCCACCCCGTTTCCAGGGCTGTTCACAGACCAAAGGGCAGCCTGGCCAGGGGGCAGAGCAGCCAGGCTAAGCCTGTGGAGTGAGCCCGGTGATGTGACCGGGAGGAACTGGCTGATCCGTTGCCAGACTTTGTGCAGTTTGGGGCTTGGGAAGCTGCAGTAGTTCTGTGCAGAAAGTGCATTTAGGGGCCGTTAACTAGACCGTTCTGCATTGATGCCCACACGACCCCTCCTTCCGTGCACTACCCTCCCCTCATCCCTCCAGGCTCCCGCCCCGCTGTGCCTTTCTAAGGGGCTGAGGGGTTTAATCACAGAACTCTTGTTTTACTGCTTCAAAGGAACTAGTTTATTTGGCCATGTAGCAGATCGCTGACTCACTGGCGCGGCGCCTCCTGCTGGTCATCCAGGAATTAGTTCAATTCCAGCACTAGGAGCGCCTCCTGCTGGCCGGTGTCTCTCCTGCTTCAGGCCCCCATGTCCCTCACAGACCCCAGTGCCCCTTACCTTGGGGTGCTGTCCCAAAGCAGTGCCCCCACACTCTGGATCTCCCTTCCCAGGTGAACCCCCTCCCCCTATGCCCACCTTGCCTCAGTGGCTACTGCCAGTCGTCATCTAGTCCTCTTTCTCTGGGGCAGACTGTATAGGGTTACCACACGTCCGGTTTTTCCCGGACATGTCCGGCTTTTCGGCAATCAAACCCCCGTCCAGGGGGAATTGCCAAAAAGCCGAACATGTCCAGGAAAAATACCGGCTGGGCACTTCCCCTCCCGTGGCTGTTCTGCTCCTCCCCGGACTCAGACTTTGGCTCTGTTTAAGTAGCCAAGCTGCCCGAGCCAGCGCTACCGGCTT